CGAAGTCCGAAGTCCGAATGTGACCTCACATTCCTATGCAATTGTCGAGACAAAAAAGTGATCCCCACATGCTTCCAACTCAAATTCCATTCCAAAACCTCAGCCACTGAAAGGATCCTGAAAAGAAGGGAATTAGCCCTAATCAGAAACAAACTCCACAGGAAAAATTCCTACTAGACCAAACCAACAGGGACCTACTTACTCTCCACCTCCAACTCAGCACAAAATCCACCCAGCACTCTGGGACAAATCCAAACAACTAGTCCTCTGGAGAGCTGAAACAGAAACCTCCCACAAGACAGACACACACACCAAGAAACTCCACAGACTAGAGAAACACCAGACCCCCACCCCCTCCTACAACAACGCATGAAACAAATAGTACACAACATATCAGACAGAACCCTCACCAGAGCAGAAACCAATGTCCTCTCCAAGGGATTCAACTTTGCAGTCGCCCCCAAACGCATCCCCACCGAAAACATTATATGCAGAATTGAAGCTAGCCTAACCAAAATTAACCCAGATGTAGCCAATAAAATTAGACTTGAAGTCACCAACGTCCTCTGCTCCAGCAGTCCACCCAGAAGCAACTTACACAGAGAAGAACAAAAAGCATTCACCAACTTGAGGAAAGACAACAACATAATCATTCTCCCAGCAGACAAAGGCAACGCCACGGTCATGATGAACACATCGGACTACCAATCCAAATTATCCAACCTACTCCAAGACCCCGCTTACAAACCTCTAAATACTGACCCCACCACCTACCTAGAAAAAACCACCAAATCCAAAATAAAAGCCTCTCCCATCAGTGAAGAGATCCAGCAAAGAATCATCCCCAGAGAAAAATCATCCAGATGCCCTAAACACTATGGCCTCCCCAACATACACAAAGAAGGAACACCACTCAGACCCATAGTCAGCTCCATAGGCTCACCTCTACAGAAACTTGCCAAATTTCTCGCCAAACAACTCCAGCCCTACAGAGAATCCATCACCTCACATGTACAAAACACTTTCCACTTCATAGAAACAATAAAGAAACAAAACCTACAACCCAGTGGATCTACTCATGAGCCTTGACAGCCATCCAAAACAAATACAGCCCCCTAAGCACATCCTAGATCTGATCAACCACTGCCTAACCAACACATACTTCATCTACAATGGACAAAGATACAAACAGATAGAAGGAGCACCTATGGGATCACCCCTCCCACCAGTCATCACTAACCTATAGATGGAACACTTTGAAACCAATGTTCTTGACAAATCCGAACACAAACCCAAACTCTGGCTTAGATATGTTGATGACACTTTCGTAATTTGGCCACATGGGAAAGAAAAACTGGACAACTTCCTCACACACCTCAACAGCCTACACCCCAAAATACAATTCACCATGGAAAAAGAAGCCAACAACCAACTTCCCTTCCTGGACGTCCTAATTTACAAAAAAACCAATGGCTCCCTAGGACACACCATCCACTGGAAGAAAACACACACCAACCACTATTTAAACACACAATCCCATCACCACCCTGCACAGATCAACTCTGTAGCCAAGACCCTCATCTCCAGAACCAAACGCCTAGCCGATGAAGACCACCTGAGAACAGAATTACACACCCTCACTAACGTATTAATTTCCAACGGATTCCAAAGAAGCACAATTACCAACCTAATCCTAAGGGAGACACCCTCCAGAAACTGAGACACAGAACAGGACAACGGTATCGCCCTCCTCCCCTACATCAAAGGCACCACAGATAAAATCAGCAAAATTCTCCACAAACACAATATCAGGACAGCCTTCAGTACTGACCCAAAAATAGCCAACATCCTAAGAAATCCCAAAGACAAGATTCAGCTAGAAAACCAAGGAGTTTATGAAATACCATGCAACAATTGCCCAGCCAAGTACATTGGACAAACCAACAGGAGAATAAATGCACACATCGCAGAACACAAGAATGCAGTCAGAAAAGAAGAAAATACTTCCTCCCTTTTCCAGCACCTTAAAACCACAGGACATGAAATTAATTTTGAGGGAACCAAATTAACCTCCTGAACACTTCAACAAGAGAATAATCAGGGAAGCCATCGAAATAGAGAAACACCCCCATAACATGAATAAACGGGACAATGCCTCCCGCCTACCAGACATCTGGAAACTAGCCCTTATCAACAAATGAGTCCTAGCCACGAAAACCAACAGCAGACCCAAAACAACACATGACACCACCACCATTCTCCCTCACCAGACTCAAACCCAAACCCATCCCATAGATGAAAGACAGCCACCATCCAGAAATCAGACCATGGCTGCATCACCAACTGCCACACAGCCCGACCCCCAAACCAAGCAAACTGAGACACACCATGAACACATATCCAGGCCTCAAACTCAAAGCCAGACTAAAACCCAGAATCACGGCCACCCGCTTAGGATATCACATCAGAAAACTCAGGAAATAACACCACAAGAACTCAAGAAGTATGTATGTATGGTATTCAGCTTTGTTTGGGTATTTTCCCACGTCATTATAGTTGTGCTTTTAAAGTTGTAGCAACGTTTCAGCAGAATCTCATCTGCCATCATCAGGCTTCTGTATTGTGTTCGTCTGTGAGTCAGACTTTCACAGCTGTTTCAGGCTAGCCCCAAATTTAAAACTGAAACGGCTGTGAAAGTCTGACTCACAGACGAACACAACATAGAAGCCTGATGATGGCAGATGAGATTCTGCCGAAACATTGCTACAACTTTAAAAGCACAGCTATAATGACGTGGGAAAATACCCAAACAAAGCTGAATACCATACACACACACACACACACACACACACACTTTCTATCCATCATCTCTTGTTTATTTTAATACTTCAATTCTTATTCATCTTTTGGCTTTCCTCCCATACTCCTCTCTTGGATCTTTGTCTCTATCAACATGTGTATCTTCACCATTCACATTGAATATTTCTCCCATCTCTCCTCCTAAGCTTTCAGGTCTCCAGAGTATCCACCCAAACCCCAATCTCCCTTTCAAAAAATATTTTCCAGGTTATCTGATTCCATTTTAAAATCTCTTAAAGTACTTTTAGTTTATTTCATCAGTCATTATTGTCTTTATCGTCGTCTTCTCATCTTCTTGCTTTGTTTGCTGGTTTGTCTGTTCTATCTTTCTGTTATCTCCCCTCTTTCCTGGACTATTTGATCTTCATTCATTATCAGTTATAACATATTTACTATTTTCCCATATATGCCTTGCATTAGGTTCTTTATCTCTCTGTGATTCTTTTCCATAGTACCCCTAATGTTTTGAAACATCAATGCCATTTCTCTTGAAATCTCACTCATTTCCCCCTGACGGAGCATCTTGTCTTAATTTAATAAGTCCTGCTCTTACTCAAGTCCAAAAACAATATATTCCAGTCCAATGTTACTCCTCAGAAAGTTCAATAATCATAGTTCTTTATATCTCAGGATTATTAATCAATTTCATTTAAGTAGTCCAGTCAGTTTTCACAAATCAAAAGTCACTTTACTTTACTTAAGAGTTTTCCTTATTGTCACAATAGAGTCTCCAGTAATCATAAAGTAAATAGTTATAGAACAGTAAGTGTCACCACAGTCTGTCAGATGAATGTTGTTTATTTCTATTATCCAAAATTTTTCTAAACTTGTAGGGGTCTGGTATATTCCATTCAACATTAGATGGCACCCTCAGCTTAGGTTTCAGTTGTTTCAAGTCTTATAGATTTGATTAATCCAAATTTATTTCAATTTATGGGGGCAAAGTAGGCTATTCAAGTAGATAGTTCCAGCATTTTATAATGCCTTTCCAAAAGAACACCTGCCCAATTTAAAAGTCCCAATTTTCTATGTTTTAAAAGGTCTTTAGCTTTTCTCCCCTTAAGTCTTTTCTTTCAGGTCTAGGATTGTTCTCTCTATGGTTGTTGACCACTTTGAGAAATAGTTCTAAGAGTCCCCTTTTTCTTTCTTTCTTTCTTTCTTTCTTTCTTTCTTTCTTTCTTTCTTTCTTTCTTTCTTTCTTTCTTTCAAGTTAGGGTCTAAATAAAAAGGAATCTTCTGACCCAGCTCCAATCACTGTTCATTTACACCGCACCTGCACATTTCGATGATGGCTGCCCCTTCTCCTTGTTGTGGATGAGAGGGAAGAAGCCCTGAGTCCAGCAGGAGAGTTGCTGCTCTCTGCGACCTGCAGGGCACCCCTTTTTTTCTTCACCACTCCTACAGGGTGGTTTTAGTTCATTTCAGAGCCCACTAATAGGGAGAACTTGGCATGGTAGTGCCGAGATCCGCTCCTCACATCTGATAGCACCGTGATGTCAACCGGAAGTCCTCTAAAAAACTTTAGTTTTATGGACCTAATGGCTGTGCACTTTTTTGCTTTAAATATGATATATCTCTTACCAAAAAGCATGCAAAAGAACTAGGTTGTCTTGTCCTAATATGCAACCTTAGGTGACTTAAGAAGGGAAATTGCTGATTTTCCAGATGAGGAAAATATATAAACAGTTTCAGAGATGATGATTTTTAAATTCCTTATCTACTCAAGTATGGTAGAGTATTTTGTATGACAGGGATTGTCAGACGAATATTTTTTGCTTGGAATATTCATTTATATTTAGAAAATACTATCCACTCAGGAGATCTTTCTGGACTACAGTATGTTGAAATCTCAAACTCTTCTCTATTTTATTGCCCAAAAAAAGTGTTTAAGCTGCACAACAGCACTGGGTCTACCTGCATGAATGCAATCCATTTTAGAAATAATGTGAACACAGTATTTTCAGGATCTATATGCATATGTTTTAAAGAAGTAATGCAGTGAAATAGAAAAAAGGTAAATGGATAAAGAAGAGAATAGGTTTATATGTTTGTTTTTAGTTATAATATCAAGTGACCATTGGTAATGGTGTCAGCAGTACTGATTTAACATAATAACAAAAAACTTTTTCCCCCACCCACAGTAGGTAAACCTCATAAATGTAACTACTGTGGACGAAGCTACAAACAGCGCAGTTCTTTGGAGGAACACAAGGAACGCTGTCACAACTACCTTCAAAATGTCACCATAGAGGCCACGGGGCAAGTGATAAGTCATCATGGTGAGTGGAAATGTTGCAGATGTTGCTCTTGCTCCTACTTGCAATATAACAAGAAAGGAACAAATATGTATAATGTTGCATTATAAAATTATAGTTATAGTTTACTAAATTTATATAATTGTATAAGCCCTCAACTTTTACAGAGGAATAGCCTAACATCCTCAGAATGTTTTGGTGGAGGAAGCAAATGTTGATTTTTAATTTTGAACCATATGCAAACAAACTGGCCACCAGTTCTGTTGTTAACTTGGAGCAGGTAGGGGTCTCCTATGCTTTCTCCCTACCCCCTACACCCACTCCGCTGAGGAAAAAAAAAGAGAATACAAAGAATTTGGCCACAGGTGATTGATCTCCAAGATGGGAAAGTTTCTGATAGTTAAAAGGATGACTTTGTTAATTTTCTTAACTTGAAAGACTGTAAAATGGCATTAGTGAATATTAGCATATGATTTTGTTTTAATTAATGAATCATCTTGTACACATAATATTTATGTATCATCAATTGTTAAACCTGACAACAGATATTTGTTACAATGGTATGCTTTTTCCCATTAATTTCCACAAATACAGTTTTTTCAAGTTCTTGATAAGATATTGCTATAGCAGATATGGTGGGGACACTATGCTATTCAGATGGAGCATTATAAAGTGCATCAGATTAATGATGTTGGCAGTTATTGAAAAATATTCTGCAGTGAAGCATATGCAGGTCAATTTTTAAAAGCAAATTAAAAATATCATTACAAATATCATTCAATGTAAAATTTTAAAACATGAGTACAAGAGATACTCACAACTATGTATTTTCACTGCCTTGTACCGTGATGACGAACCTATGGCATGTGTGCCAGAAGTGGCATGCAGAGCCATCTCTCCGGGCACACCAGCCATTTCCCATTGCTCTTCCAGGTGCGTGTGCTGGCCAGCTGGTCTTCACGTGCGCATGCACGTTAGAAACTGGAAGACCAGGTGACCAGCATGCATGCACATGCCAAGAAGGTAACCTTCCAGTTTCCAGCGCTCCCAAGTGCACATGCCGGGGAGCTGCTCTTCCAGTTTCCGGTGCATGCACACACATGCATGCACGCTCCCGTTTCATCACGAAAAGGTTCACCCCCACTGGCTTAGTATAATGTAATCTAGTAAGCCTTCTGTGGACATTCTCATTAGTCTATCTATATGTAATCTGTTAAAAGAGGAATAGGTAACTCACTTTCCAGAAGGTCATTGTATGACATAGAATTACAATTTTGGGGCTTTTTCTTTCACATTTATAAGGGCGTAGAATGCAAAGGAGGTTTTTAGAGGGAAAAATTGCTCCTATTCTTATCCTTAATTCTGAAAAACAACACCACCAAACAGAAAATCCATAGAAGAAAACCAGCCATTTTCTTTGGAAATGCAGTTTTGGGAGCTGCAAATAGAGACCAAATACAGCTATTAGCTGCATGTTCCACCCAGTCAATCTGAAGAACAAGTATCTTACCCAGCAGATTTTTTTTTCCATCTATATATCCAGTACACTACTGTAATGCCCAGAGTGGTCTATAATCTATATTCCTCTTGTAGAAGAGGAAGCAATGAGTTCATCAATGCCACTTTCAAGTCTCAAGTATTGCTTGTTGCTTGTCACTTTATTCAAACAGGTATTTCCTTTCTTTGGAGCTATAGGGCTCTCCAGGGAAAGAGAGACCTTCTCCCATTGATTCATACAAGCTTTAAAAAGGTGAAAGAGCTTTCCCTAGTATGGGAGAAAACTAGAAGGAACCATTCATGGCCTCTATTTGAACATAACGCTGAACCTTACAGACCTTTTTTGTGATATATAGTTTGGCAAACTTGATCAATGTCTTTGTAAATTATAAGGAAAAAGAGAAAGGCAGTACTTTGCCAATTTGGACATCCCAACAAACTGTACAGTTAACAAAAAGCAAGAAAGGAAGACGAAATCTGCATGCAAGAGGGAATGAAGACTGCAGTTGCTTTTCCAGACTATAGCCTCATTTTTGACCTGAGCCATTGCAGTAAATGTTTTAGCATATCAATCCACTCTCTCTGCCTTTTGATCTTCTTCAGTCATGCAGCAGACTTGGAAGCAGGTGACTGGTCCGCTGCATTGTTAGAAAAAATCTCTCTCTCTCTCTCTCTCTCTCTCTCTCTCTCTCTCTCTCTCTCTCACACACACACACACACACACACACACACACACACACACCTCTTTTTATTTTGCATGATCATCTAAAAGAATAGGAACCATTTGTGTCCAGGAACATGTAGTCAGGAATATGAGTGACTTAGGTCAGGGCTGGTCAATGGCCGATATATACAATGACTGACCAAGTTAGATCATCTGGGCTTATCATAATGCTACTTTGATTTTGATGAATGAGCAGGAGACATATTTTTTTGCCTAGCATTTGACTCTTTCTGCTTCCTGTATTGTATTTTCTGGGTTTCAGAGTCCTGTGAGTATGGCTTCTATGCTTCTAGAATATGTGCCTGCATCTAGAGTTAATTTATAAAACAAGAAATTAAATATATTTGGAAGTCATATTTTTGAAAGTTTTACTCTTTTGTTTTTGATGTATGAGAAATAGTTCCATTTTGGTGGTGGTTATGGCAAACTCAGAGGCATTAGATGTATAATGTCTGACAAGTTATTGGCTTCTCTCTTGCCAAGATTTCTAGTCAAACCCTTTTCATGGTGGCTTTTAGTTATTCAGAGAACTACTTCTCTGAAAAGGCTTGTGTCTGGATGTGTTTTCTATTTTTTTCTAGGCTATTTATTGTGTCAATTACAAGTAACATGTTTCTTCAATTGTTTATTTAAAGTTATTTAAGGTTACTCTATGTTATTTTTAAACATTGGAGGGGAGGCTTGGTGCATGAAAGAACAAGGCTTATTTGAATAAATATTTAAACAATACAAAACAATATAATCCTCAGGAACAGTGTCCCATCACTTCAAATTTCTGATCCAGTTATACTTGCCTGAGTTACTCTGTTGGCTGACCCAGTTTTGATTTGGATTATGATACTGGAGCAGTATTCAGTACTCTCCATTCCAAGAAATTATTGAGTGAGATAATTTAAATACTGAGATCAGGGTAAGTGAGTGAAGTGTGACAAATATTTCAAAATTATTTCTGGACAAACATAGCTATGGTATGTCTTTGTAACAGATGAAAAGCCTATGATTAGAAGAACCTGTAGATCCCATATTGTGAAAAACTATTGAAAAACTTACATACTAGGGTGATAATGTTATTTTCTCTGTGTCTTACTGTTTTATTTAATTATTCTTTAAGAGAACTTTCTCAACACATAGCATATGAATTGTGGGAAGTTATCTGCAAAGAATAGATGCAAAATTAAAAAGCTAAAAGGGAGGTCCCATGGATACTTTCTTCATTAAGCATAAGCCCTGTTGAATATAGGGTACCTGTTTTCAAGTCATTATTTTGAAGACAAAAAATTATACAAACATCAAATAGTAGTTGATATCTCAATAGTTTTGACATAAAGTTCATGATTACAAGGACAAATATTTATAATCAATATTTTATCACCCATTTTTCAATCCTTTTGAAAGTAAACATGAATTCTTGTTTGTGCTTCTATTTACCGGCAGTTGGATTCCCATAGAAAATGAAAATTTATTGTGTGTGTCTCAGAAAAAGATTCCTGAACAAATGGTAACAAGGAAATAATTGACATAGCAAATCTTCTTTCTTGGTAGCTTATTTATAAAATAGATATAAATTAATTATCAGTTGTGTCATTTCTATGAACTGGAGGTTTTTACTAGAATGTTTTACTATTAAAGAGGACACCACCGCCACCATCACCATCATGCTACAAGACACATATTGTAGGTTTATCTTAAATCAGCATATTTCAGTCACACATATTGCAGGACATTCATAAAATTTTGATTTTAAAAAAATGAGAGCTCAATGAGATATGCCTTCAGAAAAAAGAAAAACCATAGAAACAGAACAAAATGTTACAGGGCTCACCAGCCACTGTACTCCCAGACCTGGGAAAATAGCCAATTTTTCAGCACCTTCTGGACCATCATCAGGGTGGAAGCAAAATGGGTCTGTGAGGGATGAGAATTAGGAGTTCTACTATGCTCTCTGTCAGGTTTTATGGGAGAAGAAAAATTATAGGCAGTCCCTCAAATAATGAGGCTGTCGTGAAAGTTGTAGGTTGTATGGCATATGTTCAGAGGTGGTATTTAGCAGGTTCTGACCAGTTCTAGAGAACTGATAGTGAAAATTTTGAGTAGTTCAGAGAACTGGTGGTAGGTAACCTTCCCCCAGGAGTGGGGAGGGAATGGAGATTTTGAGTATCCTTCCCTCAGGAATGGGGAGGGAATGGAGATTTTACAGTATCCTTCCCCTCCACTCCCACTAAGCCATACCAAGCCACACCATGCCCACCAAGCCACGCCCACAGAACCAGTAATAAACATTTTTGAATCCCACCACTGCATAGCTAATTAGTAACCAGTGCAGCTCATGAAGCAGTGATGTTACATGGGCATTCCTTGGGCTTATGAAAAATAGGCTTACCATTATTCTTTCTTCCTGTCACATTTGAGAGCAGCAGCTGTTTCCAGGTATTTGAAAATCAAGGGCATCCCCACGCAGAGCATATGGCCATAATCCAATTCATATAATGGAATGCCCCATCATATGCAAATATCTGCAGAAAGTGAGCTGACATGGGCAGCAGCATCTCAGGGGCAGGTCATCTGTTTAATTCATTTTCATGCTTCTTCGGAGAAAACAAGTGATAGCACCAATGAGTATGATAATGGCTTGGAAGTTTAGTAGTTGAAGCAGAAGAAAAAGTGTACACTTAACCTTACAGTGCTCAAGATGGTGATTTTAGTATAAAGTCAACATTGCCTGTATATGTTGGAGGTACCAAATTACATTGACTGATGTATTCTGCCCTATTTTCCTATCTATCTCCTATCTGCTTTAGTATTG